CAACCTGTAACAACTCTGCCCAATACATCCTAAAACTCGATCAAGTGGAATTAAAGGATGATAACAAGGTGTACCACTACCAACATCACGGAACCGAGTCCGGAATACAACAGAACAGTAAATGGACAACCGGGATCGCTATAATGGAGCTGAAGTTGACGGTTGCTCGGCTGGATCAGAGGTTGACCCCTGGTCTATCCGAGATGTGGATGCGGTCTGTGGCGTGGTGGCAGGTGGTGGAGAAAGGCTTTTTTTCTTCCTTCTAAGGACGTCGGGCAAAGCGGACCTGTATGTTGGAATAAAGTTGAGGAGCAGAGGCGCATTTCGTTTGTGAATTGGCAAGTTCAGAAGTTTTTTCAAATCCTTGCTGGGATAGAAGGATTGGCGAAAATTCTTTGAAGGTTGAGGAAAAACTGCAAAAGATAAAAACAGCACAGACATTAGAATATAAAATATTGAAAACTTTATGCAAGAAGATAAAAAGAAACTTAATGATGGGTGGCCCTTACCAGCTCCTTCCCTCAAAACAGTGCAGCTTAAGAGATAAAGATGGAGGTTGTCGTTTGGCTGAAACTCCCAATTGCCCGAGACAATGAAGTAATTGTCTCTAGCTCCCTTGTTGGAGTCTGGGAGGTCTGCTACGATTTTATATTCAGTGGATCTCGGCTTAAGGTAATAGACATAGTCCGTGTCTTTTCTAAGACGACACATGGTATAACAGTATTGGAAGTTGGCAAGTGTAATTCTGGCATTCTCTTGTTTAACTAAGGCTATGGTACTAGTAATAACTCGGTAAGAATTGATGGCGAGTTGCATTGGGTTCAACTTATAGAAGTGAAAGATTTGACGGAAAAAAGGGTCAAGTGGAAACCGAAGTCCACACTCAATAAAGGCAACTACAGGGAAGGGCATGGAGTGATCAGTAGGCATGATGGAGTCATCATCCCCAGCCAACCTCAGATTGACATTGGCTGGGATTTCAAACTCTTGCCTAAAAAAGTCTAGCTTAGAAGGGGTGTCTACCCGATGTTTCCACAAACTATGGAGATGAAGATCAAAGGCACAGATCTGGAAAAGACACAAAAAACAGAAAACAAAGGCGAAGTTTCAGAATCAAGAACAGAGATGGACTATCAAAAACATGAAGAATACAAAGGGTTGAAGGCCAAGAACAGTGGCAAGACGTGCAAGAAAACTATGAACAGTACATGTATTCAAGACATAAGCAAAAAGTAAAATCAACGCATTCAGATGTATGATTCACAAATTAAATATTTGAGCAAGGCAGTAATAAAAGATCAAGAACTGGAATAAGAAGAAAACAGTTGCTTACCAGAAAATACGAAGCCGATGTAAAGATCGCCGAAGTCAGACGACGGTCGTGGAGGCAACGAAATGGTGCAAAACACGCCGGAAGTGTTGAGCGGAATAAGTTTCAGAGCAAGAAAGCTTGAACAATGGCAGACTCGAGAAGAAAAAGTTAGAGAGAGAAAAAGTTTTCCAGAAACAAGAATAAAGTGAAAGGGAAAAATCGAAGAGGTGTTTTGTTAAAAATGAAAACGGCAGCAAAAAGTAATCAATACGCCTAGAAGAACGTATGCGTTAGACGGCGCACGTGAGAGGGAGAGACGGCTTACGGGCGCATCACAAGTACGAACCAGTAAGAAAGAAACGCGTGGCTAAAAATGGTTGAATTATGGTGTATGACAGCTCATACGCGTGAAAGGGTTCTTGAAGTTTTTGTTCTTCAACAAAGACATGTCGGCCCAAATAATGATCTCAGTTGAGATACTAAAAATCGACGTACTAGAAAACAGAATGATATGGGTTCCATCACCTCAGGATGCCGAGGTAATAGAACCTAGGGGGTAGTTGTGAAGATATATCTTTGAGTACCGACACATAGCAAGGTGACGCCGACGTGTCAGCCGAGGTGCCACGTGTCAGGGTCATAACGCCGAGGTGATCTCGGTCAAGCCAAGGATATCTCCGAAGATATCGGAATCTGAGATAAGCGGATAAGAGAAAAGGGACAAGAGTCCTAGAATACAGAGAAGACTTAGCCAAGATAAGGATAAAGCTCTTAGGGAGTTTATCTCTATCTCTAAAGGAGTCCAAAGTAAGTATTAAACAGGAATCCATAGAAGTCAGGCTTCTATTGGGATTAGAATTGAGGTAACTATAAAAAAGAGGCACCCCCGTGGGTTTAAGGTACGCAATTTCATGCTTTGAGCATTGAGTTTAGCACTTGATTTATCTTTGAGAGATATACTGACTTGATCGTCGGAGTGCCCCCGGGTGGTCGAAACCACCGCCGGAATCTTCTCTTTCTGTTGTAGGTCAGCCAGTTGCCATCTATTCTGCCGGTGCTCTCCAGCTGGTTACTAAGCGGGCAGTGTGGTCAGAAAATCACCCACACAATTACTTGTTCGGATATCAATTTTAAATTTACTCAAACATTCACGTTGTAGAAATTATAAATTTCTTCTTTGTTTGAAATTTGGATTCAATGCGAAACGAACCAACGATAACGAATGTGAAAACAATGAGTCGATGATTACCGACGATTTGAACACTTCAATGGCCAGATCTACTCAAACCAATGATAGCGGCAACAATCCTAGAGTTATGGAGGCAATGTGGTGGTTAACAGAGAGAGAAAGATTAGAAGTTGAAGTCATGGGAGGTAGTGAAGTTCGGTCATTAACAATGAGATAGAAGGTTAGTTTTAGGGTTTGTACATTGATATTTCATTGAAAGTTAAAAAATATGTGTGTATTAACTTTAGCGGAACGGAGCGGTTCGGTTCGGTTAGCGGATTATAAATTTTAAAGTTTAAACCGCGGTTAGCGGTTAGAGCGGTGCGGATTGATGCGAATCGGTGCGGTTTTAGCGGATTGGACGGTATTTTGCACAGCCCTCCAACCAAAAAAATATCCAAATTATACTCTCAAAATCGCAAATTTCACAATTATACTAAAATATAACTAAATTTTGACTTTATAATTTTCTTAACACGTGTTTTATCTTGACAAAAGACTAAGTGTTTAACATGCACTAAAAAAGTATATTTTTTTTTTGCATATATATATTTATTTGGATCATATCAATCAATATTTATCAACATTTCTTCTTTACTTTCTATCCATTTTCTCTACTTTTCTACATATTTTTTATAAAAAGTTAAAAAGCGCACTTATTTAGAATATCTTAAACTACAATTGATTTAAATCTTAGTAAGGAGTAAAAATGTTTAGTGCTTTTTCTTTCTTTTAATTTTATTTAATACAACCAAAAAAAAAATCAATGAAAGAGAAAAAAAAATCATTAAAAGAGAAAAAAAATCAATAATGTTATTTTAAAATAATATTTATAATTATTCAGAGTGTGGCCATCATTAAATTTAAATCGTGGTACGTTTTAAGGTAATTTGTAATTATAACTTATTCTAACGTAAAGCTTGGCAATAATTTTAAGACGAAAATCTCAAGATAAATTTTTTAATTATCGATATCCAATCATCTTAATTTAAATAAATATGATTTAAATATATAATTACTGATATTCAATCATCTTAATTTTTTACATAAATGTTTTACTCCACAAATCCTGAAAATTAATAGTTTGAATCACTAAAATCGATCCTAAAATAAACCTATCAAATTTAAACACTCTCTTAAATTGAAATGACATTTTGAAAGAAACCAAACTCATATAAAAAAGACTTCAAATAAATTATTCCAAATCACAAAATGTGAATAAGATATAATAATTTTATCCCGGAATAAATAATCGTATTTTGCTTCTTGTCCACTTACTTTGACTAACGAAATGACCTTTGATAGAGTCACGTGAAGAAGAAAGATTCATATAACCAATCTCATTTAATGACACTTAAAGCTTAGTTTAATTTAATTTGATTTGATTTATTTTATTCCTTATCCGTAAATCAAACATGGCCTAAAAAGAGGGGTGGCTCTATTTGCATAGCTAGATACTTTGGACAACCCAAACCTAATATAAAATTTAAATTTTATTTTATTACTTTAAGCACCCTAGGGAACACTTATTATATCCTCCAAAATTTTAGAAAGATACTTACTATATCCCCCATAAATCAAATAGGCTTCCAAACCACCCAGAGATATGAAAACACATAATAGTTAAATATTTTTGTTTTTTTTAAATACTCAATACCAAACAAAATTGAATTTATTTAATTTTTTTTTTTTTTGACGAACATATGTAATTTATTTGGAGATACCAAATAATTCTTTTTATTCAAAATTAGAATATGAAAAAGTTCAAAAATTAACTTTTTGGAAACACAAAGCCTAACGTATATAATTTATTTGGATATTAAATACTGGACAATGTCAAATAATTCAAAAACACAATCTAATATATGAAATATTTATAGAAGCAAGTTTCCATTACTGAATTTTTGAATAAATTCTGAAAGTCCATCAACAAAAACAATGATGATGAACAGAAAACCTACATTCTCTATAAAAATAAAAAAATAAAAAATAGTTTGAAAGCGTTTTCTTTATTATCCATTGTAGATTTTAATATAAAATAGAATACAAAAATAATAGATTTAAAAGAAATAAGATTGAGTATGAAAATTTAAAGTGATGAAAAAGCGAAGGGAAGACTGGGACTGGTTATGAGATAGTGTTCAAAACACTATGATTTGCATTTTTTTTAATATCAAGTACTTTTAAGTCATTTTGAAGTCATTTTGAATAAGGGCGTAATAATAATAATTTCTTTTATTAAATTGGAGTGTCAAAAAATGTTTTGGGATGTAAATAGAGCCACCCGAGGAGTAACGCTTGTCCACCCTTCCAAAATTTTCCAGAAATGCAGGAAGAAGAAAGCAATCCATCACGATGTTTGGTTTGCAAACTCAGAAGTGTTTTTTAGTTTTTTGTTTTTCTGACACAATGCCTCTCATTTGTGAAGGCTGCCTTTGTCCCTACAAATCAAATTGGAACCACCTCATATCAAGGATTGCAATAAAAAAGAAAGGAATCAACAAGATTTCTAATTCTCCATTTTTCCACAAATTTTTTTCCTGAAAAAAAGGGAAAATAATGCAAAGTTAAATATATCTAAAAATTGTAGCAATGGTAAGAGAAGGGTGCAGGACAATATTACAGAGGATATTAAGGCCACTGAAATGCAGGTCCATCAAAAAATGCCGCCCTCATTCAGTGGAATCAGCTCAACCATCAAGGGCACCCAGTGCCTTCATGTCCTCCAAGAAAGCTGTATACGAGTCGTCAATACTCTGTGACTTCGGTGCTGATGAGGAGGAATTAACAGTCTCCGGTTTCATCACAACAGTTGGAGCAGCTGCAGGCTTGTTGGTTGCTGCCACAGCTGTTGAGAGAGTGGGCTTTGATTTGGGTTTTGGAGTAGCAGTCTCTCTCCTCACGCGTACAGATGCTGGAACCTATATCCATACCAAAAATGAACTTAGGATGGTAGAAAAATAAAAATAAATTAAAAACACGTACATGCACTCGCAACCAATTAGAGTTTCAATGTAAGCAATTGTTGTTCAACCCATTTCAAGCATGCATCTGAAAAAAAGTTTTGTTTCATACAACATTGACCTAAACCCAATTCTCTTGTTATTTACTGTGTGGGTGTTTGAGAAGTTGCTATTTTAGTAGGTTATTTTAGTTTTTGACTATTTTAATAGGCTAAAATTTTTGTGTTTGGAAAGATAATTGAATTTTTTTTAGTTAGATGTGATGTTTGTGAGAGAAAAAATGAAATGATTATGGGTTAGATGTGACATTTTGTCTAATTGGCTATTTTAGCCTATTTTGTCATTTTGTGAATTTTAACCCAAAAAGCTAAAAAAAACTTTTGCCAAACACCCTTTATATATCATGTATTTTGTTTTTTAATGATTTTTTTCTTGGCAATTCTATCTTTTGTTTATTGTTACTAATATTTTTATTTTCTTTTTTTAAGAGTTGGCTAGCTGAGTACTAGAAAGCAAATTAGGTTTGAATAACGTGTGTGATGTGCAGAATATACCGGGTGACATGCTGACCACCTAGGCACCCAAAGCACTATTCCGAACAAACTCATAAGACTTTGAATTACAAACTTTCAATTTCCCTGTGTTTAGTTGAGGGATTTGAGAAGGGATTTGGAAAGGGAAATGGAAAAGGTAGGTGAAATGTGAAAAAAATATACCTATATTTCACATAGTTTCACACACCTTTTCCCTTTTCCTTTCCAAATCCCTCCTCAAATCCCCCAACCAAACACAGCATCAAAGTTAAAACTCCACTCTGCCAATCTCTCAAAAAGCCATTCTAAGAGCTCTTGAAGGACAAAAAAACACATTACTCAAAAAATCTGACCCAAATGTTCTGTTTTGCAAAAACTATACCATGGATCTTTCAACAAATTCACCTCCGAAGCATCAGATTATGGTAATCAATGGAACAGCAATGCAATATACAAACAAGCAGAGTAACTCACCATGGAAGTAAGTTCTGGAGTGTGCTGAGCTAGTGGCCTCTTCACAACAGTAGATGCAGCTGATTTGACATATGATGGCTTCTGAGGAGCAGAAGGCCTTGCAGCATGTTCATCTAGTAGAAAAGGAGGAGGGCCCGGTGGAAGTGGTGGTCTCATCATGGGGGGTGGTCCAGGGGGAGGTCCAAAAGGTGGCCTCGGGATCAGATGAACCATCATTCCAGGGGGAGCAGCTTGGCCAGGTAGTCCAGGAGGACCTAATGGTGGCCGCATATCCGGTGGAGGTGGGGGTGGGGGGAACTGTGAAATTCCTGGGGGTAATAATACACCAGGCTGTAAGGATGTAACCGGACCAGGCCTGGGTACTGCAGGTTGTTGCCTTGGAGGAGGTGGAGGAGGAATCATTTTAGAAAGATCATTGGTCCCTGAAGAACTTTTGGGCTCGGATTCAGATGGTGCACCTTCAGACTGATTACCTGACAAATTCAATGGCAACCCAGGTGGTGGAGGGGGTGGAGGGAGCATAGTAGATGCCTGCATGAGAGAGAGAGAGAGAGAGAGAGATGTTATCTCTATTTTCTAGATATTAACTGCAAAAAGTTCAAAAAAATTCCAGCATTTTTGGGTTTAGAGAGTCGATGCAGCAAGTATATACATTTATTCACCTCTCTCTCCTCTTTATTTATGTTTTAATATATGCAAATTTTCATCTATTTTTCCTTTTTTTTATTTTTTTATTTTGCTAGACAGCTATGCACACACATGTACCATCAAATAACTTCTCAGAAATTAGTTAATTGGACATTAAATTCTCAAAGGGTATGCCCGAATTCCTCATCCAAAGGATACTTCTATGCATCAATCAGCATCTTTGTGGACAAACAATTTCAGGTTTTCATGCCATCAAATGATTATTTCCACAAAGTGAATGAGGAACAGCTTACCTTAAGTGCTTCCTTGGAGGTTGGATCATCTGAGTTCACAGATTGATTATTTTCCCTTTCAGTTCCCCCAGTCCCAGGTGGAGGTGGCTGAGTAGACTGATGGAGAGGCGGTGGTGGCGGTGGTGGAGGAAGGGAAGGACGAGTAGCACCTTGTTCTTTGGGTGGGGGGCCAGGAGGTGGTGGTGGCAAAGGAGGTAGAGGCAATGATGTACCCAAGTCGGCCACAGAAGGCCTTGGTGGCATAGGAGGTGGAGGAGGTAAAGGCAAAGATGCAGGGATAATAGAACCATCTCCAGCATCTGCATCACCAGTATGAGGTAGAGGAGGAGGTGGTGGAGGTGGAGGAGGAACACCTAAAGCAACATCCTCCGACTCTGACATCAACGACGATGCAGCACCACTCGACGATGCTCCTGATAAGGGAATCCTTGGTCCTGCAGCTCAATGCCAAGAACAGAATCAGAGAGAGAGAGAGAGAGAAAGAGAGAGACCAACAGTATACGAAGTACCTATTGACGATTTAAACATAGGTGGCTTTCCAGGTGGCGGAGCTCCAGTAGGATTCAATGTAGGGTGATAGTAAACCGAGTCCTGCATTGGTAAATCAGAACACGTGGGTTATAAGCATACTGGAGTAGTATTATAGTATATACTGGTTGAGTAAGAAATTACTTCTGGTTTAGGATGCTTGACTCTTTCTTCTTCTTCTGCATTAGCCCGTCTACGGGGAGGAGGTCCCAAATGGCTGCATTAGAAGTAAGCCAAATATACTTTGTCAATGAAAAGTGATTACAGTTAATAAAGATATACTATTTTTACCCCTTGCACAAAATAACTGAAGAAAAAATTAAAAAACGCTCCTTCACCTGAACATAACTGGCGCTTCACCCTTCTCTTTCATTTTCTCTTCATATTCCTGCCCAGAAGAGCCAGGAAGACTGTGACCATCACATGTGGCGTCTTAACAATGCCAAAATGCAGAGAAACATTAAGCTGTAGAACTTAAACATAGTATAGAAAAAAATAGTTCACCAGCAGCCAAAAGAGAAATAAAAATCGAAAAACTAATGCCCACTGAGGTAAATGGATTTTGACAAAATAATAATAAAAGAAAAAAAAAATTAAAAACAATTAGTCAATTCTTCCAGCATCTTTCTATGGAAATTGCAATACTTCTAAGATCTTCAACACAATTCCCATCTCTACTGTTTGTTTGCTAATGAACACACTGAGTAGGGATGCATTTGAAACTAAATTCAACTTCAAGATAAAATGGCTTCTTAGATCTTACTTCCATGAAGCCTAGTATGTAATTCACCTATTATCAATTTATCAATGTTCCGAAGGACCAAATATTTCTGCAAAAGGCAGACACCACCAGCACATTTGGGAGAACAGAGAAGCATAACAAGTCCATCCCAATGCCAAGAGAAACATCTCATTGTATTATTGTTGAGTACTGCTATACACCAAAATTGCTCCCCTCCCTTTTTCCTTTGAATACCCACCATAATCCTAATTTTACCCTTTGGACCCCCACCCTTGAAATTCTACCCTTGGGGGATTAAGGTTTGGGTTTGGATGGTAGGGATAAGGGTAGAAAGGGTATTTTGTGAGAAGGTAAATTGTAATAAAAAAATTTTTGGAGAGATGGGGGGTCCTAAGAAATTTTGTGGGTGCTATTAGCAGCTCCCTTCACTAAATATGTGAGGTCCAGGTCCTCGGCTAACAAGGCTCAAAAAAAGGTGATATCTAAGAGGTGAACTGCCATGGAACAAATGCAACATTGGGTCCACCTCAACCAATAAATAGGCAGCACTATATCTGCACCCTCCGCCCTTTATTCCTTTCTCTTTCTCTACCAAAATATAAGCATGTAAATAGAAAAAGCTTAGTAGTGAAAGTTTTGCACTTAACTTAATAAGAAAAAAGAACAGTTATAAAACCGAGCACTTTGGTAATAACTTATCAAAAACAGTTCACATCTCCTTAATGAAGAGAAATTATTCCAGGCAAAGCATTAGCTCATCAAACTCTGGATGTTACCTTCCTCTTCTTCATAACAAGGTTCAGTGTGTCCTCAAGCTGTCTCTTCTTGTGTTTTCTTGCTTTATCCAAAGCACCATCCGCTTCTGCACCAATTAATAGGAAAAAAAAAATATTATCTTATTGGAAAGCTACACAACAAAGCTGTAAATATGTGCAAAGATGAAAAAATTGAGACATTTATCTTGCAAGCAGCATGTGATTGTGTATAGATAAAATCTAAAGGGTGATGGGCATACACCAAAGTCCCCAAGGATCCATACTCTTTTAGATTTTCTAGTTTCTCTCTGTTTTATTTATGAGAATGTAGTGCTTCTTGTTGCAAAAATTGTATGGAGATTAGATAATTCCCTTTATGAATTGGTTCTTATATTGTTTCTACATTCAGTAGTTTCGTATCCTTTGGATTTAGTAACATCTATATAGGGTCCTTGGGAGGAAATTTTTTTTTATGACTCTACAGATGAATATATTTGGAACAAAAAATATTTCAAGGAAAGTATGAAGTTGATTTTGTATCCCCCATATGTCCGAAAGCATGTCTGATTTTTTTTTTAAAAAAATTAAAATAATAATAGAGAAGGTTTGGGAATTTGTCGAGGAGTGTCTAATAAGTGTTGATATCCAATGTGTGCCCAACACGGACAAGCACAAGCACCTTCTTAGAGGTTCACAAGCTTCTTAGCCTGTTTGGATAGCTTACAGAGAAAAGAAATGGAGAGAAACCAGAAGCCCTTATGATCCACTTTTCTCTCCAAGAGTGGAGCGACTTTGGAGAGAAAGATAACAGGAGTTAGTAATTACCAGTTTTGTCCTTGATTTTTATGACAAGTGATTTCCTATTTTGCCACTCTTATATGAAAAAATTTCATTTCCTTTTCTCCTCTCCTTTATCTTTCCTAAATAAGAAGAAAGGATACCACTCTTTTATCTTCTTTTTTTTCTCCTAAATTATCCAAACAATGGGAAATGATACAATATACATTCTTTTCTTTTATTTATAAAAAATATATATATACATTATTTTCTTTTCTTCTCTCCTACCGAATCCTTTCTTTTCTTTTCTCTCCTAGTTTTCCAAACAGACTGTTACTCTCTTTCTTCTCCTGTTCACGCAAAATTTATTCACCCACCACCCATTAAGTTTCAAATAAGTACTCGTCAAAATCACATACATTTTTTCAGGGTATACAATAGTTGCACTTCTCTTATCATCATTTCTAGCATTTAAACAAATGTTCTTACAGCTGAGTGCCAGGTGAAGCATCTTTAAACCCTCCGCCAATCCAAAAAACAAAGAGGAGAGAAAAAAGAAAAAAGAAAAGAAAAGAAATTGCAAACCTGCAAGATAATAAAACAAAATGATTAAATAAACTGGCGCCTCAACCCATAGCATAAACCTTTGAGCTATGCAAATTATTGGGGACAGTGTCCAAGTCCTACTTTCCACCTTACCAGACATTCTAAACGAAGAGGACAACAATGAAAGATGTAGCAACATATGTAACAAATGTCATAGTGATACCCAAGGTTCTGAAAAGCGGTCGGTTGCGGTCACCGTAACAGTGGCGGTGGCGCGGTTGCACTTGCGGTTGCGGGGTGTAAAGGCTATAGCGTAACGGTTGCGGTAACTAGAACGGTGAATTTTTTTATTTTTCGCACAATTTGAAAAAAACTTACCGATACGCATATTTTTTTCCATGATCATATTTATTGAGTTTAAAATAAATATTGATCAATTTTTATAAATTTTTAAGTATGATCCAATATATTTCATATTCAGGGGGGAATTCGTAATTTCTCAAACCTCAGGGGGGTATCTGTAATTTTGTCAAACCTGGAGGGGTGTATATGTAATTTGCCCAAAAATCAATCACTAACTATTATATATAAGATAAACAATGACAAAAGTAAGAGAATAAATAAGAGTCTATATATATATATACATATTTTTACCAAGCCAAATAGAAAATGACCATACTTATTATTATTATTATTATTATTACTTTCAACAATATTTAGATAAACACACACAAACAAAATGGTTGAGTGATAGCAGCTGAATAGAATAGTATAGGTCTTACAGCTTCAACCAAGGTTCTGAAAAGCGGTTGCGATCGCCGTATCAGTGGCGGTGGCACGGTTGCGGTTGCGGGGTGTAAAAGTCATAGCGTAACGGTTGCGGTAACTAGAACCATGAATTTTTTTATTTTTCGTACAATTTGAAAAAAATTTACCGATACGCATATTTTTTTTTCATGATCATATTTATTGGGTTTAAAATAAATATTTATCAATTTTTGTAAATTTTCAAGTATTATCCAATATATTTTATATTTTTAAATCACTATAAACTGAATTTTTTTGCATTTTATTTTAATAATTAATGACTTTATATTATACAAAAAATCAATCACTAACTATTATATATAAGATAAACAATGACAAAAGTAAGAGAATAAATAAGAGCCTAAATACATATATATATATATACATATTTTTACCAAACCAAATAGAAAATGACCACACTTATTATTATTATTATTATTATTATTATTATTAAACAATATATAGACAAACACACAAACAAAATAGTTGAGTGATAGCAACTGAATAGAATAGCATAGGTCTTACAGCTTCAACAAATTAATAGCATGTTCTTCATCTTCCCTCTTCTCTCTCTCTATCTCTTGCTCCTCCATCTTCTTTCTTTATCTTCCCTCTTCTCTTTATCCCTCTTCCCTTATTTTCAGCTTTTTTTTTTTGTATTTCTTTTCAAAAGAATCAATTTGGGACCGTTATGTAACGGTGCGTAACAAGCCGTTACGGCTATTACGGCACCGTTACGACCACTACGGCAGCCGCTACGGCCGCCGCTACGGCCAACACACCTGTGAATCTCAATCACACTGCAAAAGGGACCATAACGGCTGGCAGTAACCACCACAACCGTTACGTAACGGCGTTACGTAACGGTTGCGGCCACTTTTTAAAAACGTGGTGATACCAAATTCAATGGCTTCCCACAATTCATGCAAGAAATCTATAAGGGATAGCTTCTGCAACATATCTCGTCTCCCTCGAACATAGCCAAAAGCTAGCCAACTAATATTTACAATGATAGTATGTGTAGAAAAAATGCATAAATACACAATGTACCCAAACAACACCAAAGACAATTGAGTTGTAACCAAGTTCCATCCAATCGGTGTACAAAGAAGTGATCTTCTAGCTTCACCTTTTAAAATTTTTAATTAAGTGTTACATCATTATGCTTTATTCCATTGACCATTATCCCTCTCAAACTTCTCAAGTTCATTCGAGAAATGAATACGATGGTGAATCAAGAAAACTATGGTTCTATCAACGAAAAAATAGAAACTTTGTAGGAAAAGAAGAAATTCATGTCAACTACAAGAAATGGGAAATTCAGTTCCCAACAACTCCTCAAGAGGATGCCTAGTAAGACCAACGGTACTATTTTTCTGCAACAAAAATGAGGAAGCAGTCTCCTTAAAAGATTAATATCACAGCAAGTATAAATCAACCTGTTAGTTCCATTACCTATACAAGAAGGAAAAATGTGTGCAAGAGCATATAGCCATCCCCTTATGAAATTAATTTAGTTCCTAGTATATGCTCGGCAATAGAAACTGAATTAGATTACTAGCATTTTTTCCTTTACATATTAAGGGGGGAAAAAAGATTACTAGCATTTACAATGACAATCTACCAGAGTAAGCGGTTAACCAGCCCAAACCCACCCCTGCTAGGACAGAAATAAAACCTCCAAAACTTAACCCAACCCAACATGCCCTTAGGTATATTAAAAAAAAAAAACTGAATTATTCCTCTTCTACACGCCATTTAGGATTCCTAATTTTCAACTGCTCTCTCAATCTTACCTACCCCAGCCTCTCTAAAAGCCACTGCCTACCATCAACGCCATGATTTCACCACTGAAATGCTCAGCTTTGTCCATATAATATGATGTGCAAGTGTGAACATTTAATTCTTAGATCTGATTATGTATGTTGCAACACAATTTTATCTTGGTCCTTGTCTTGTTTTGAATTCAAACTTTCAGTCGCACATCCTGACTCTTTCTTCTTTGCACATGTTTTCTCAAAATATTTGGGATACTAAAACTTTCATCTAATCCAGAACAAAATTTGTTACATTGTGGGACTTTAATGTTGCTTAAGTTATTTAATAACCATGTCAAATGCTTAAGTACGGGAAATTTAGACAAATATTCTATTAAGTGCATTTTAAAATGCATTATCAGCTACAACTCAACACTAAAAATCCCTCTAAAGGGTATAAGTTTTAGGGGAGAGGAATCTGCCTTATCATGAACACTGAACAGACTTAATGGAAGACTGGAAGGTTATATTTTAATCTTTATGAATAAACTTTTCTTTAAGTTTATGATTTCAAATTTTCAGTTTTCTCAAACAGCTCCTGAGATTTCATTCTTGTTCAACAAAATACAAGACCTATGAACTAGGAAGACCGGGTTAGGATTGGAGTGGCCTTTTAGGTTACGGGACAAAAGCAGAGGAACAGGCATGGGCAGGACAAGGGGGCCCTTCCCTGCCATATTGCCACCCCTAGGCAGTAATTGTTTGTTAATTCAGCACATGTTCAAAGGCATAGACTTTAATCTTCCCAATTTATATCCCAACTAATATTCTATACATCTTGTATGTTATTTTTCATTTTTGGCAACTTTAGATTAAAAAGATAAAGAATGAGTTTAAGAGTCAAGAAAAGACTCCAACCAATGATCTAAAATGCTTTGTCACTTCGTATCAGGGTAAAGAAGAACCCTTTAGTGCAAAATAAACAGCAAACAATTACATTGTCATGAAATAAATAACAAGAGAAAGTAAACAAGTAATTATATATTACTGAAATAAATTACGAGAGACAGGTGATGACTTACTCATCATTTCCAACTTTTCGATTTGCTCCTTCAGTGTCTCAGGATCCTTCTTCAGTATCCCCACCTCCCTCACTTTCTTCCTTTCTTTTTTGTTCTGTTAAGATAAAAAGTACAAATAATAAGGTCTTAAACAAATTCTGACCACAAACAAGGTGCAAGTGCAACCAAAACAAAACAAAAAAGAAGCTAATGTAAGATGCATGTAAATGGTCTACAAAAGGCCTTTACAAGATAAAAAAGAGTGAACAAGCAAAAAAAAAAAAAGGGAAAATTTGATACACTGGTTGACCAACATATATTGAGTAGTGAAACAACACAACCCTAGGGCAACAAGAAGTAAAACGTAATGTAAATAGAGGTAAGTTACCAGTAATTAGTGTAGTGACAACAATTATGCTATTAAAAGGCTGAAAATAATGCAACACTACTACTTGCAAGTTATATAGTAAGAACCCGTGGTATGAACTCACTATTGATGATCATTAAAGAAATTGAAACATAACTAGCTGACAACCAGAAGGAACCCAACTGCACTCAAAAAATGCATTTGCATTTCAAAGTTCCTTTGATGCATACACCTCCTGATGTGTATTATACATAATGCCGTACTCAGAAAATACATTCAAAATGCATTGCGAATATTCTTTGATACATACACCTTTTGAGATGTATTACATTTACACATAATGGAAACATAGCTGAAAATGCGAATATGCATACCCTCAAATTCTACTGCATGGTTAAAAATACAATATGAGATCAAATTTAATACTACCTCCGTTCCAAATTATTTGTCCGGCACGCTAAACAAGAACTTAAAAATACTGTATTTTGTCCTAAATTTTTAATTTTTTTCACAAATTAAAAGTACTTAATGAGATATTTTAATTGGTGAATTTTTTCAGTACAAGAATCCATAATTTTTAAGTTCTTGTTGTTTCCGTGCCATTATTCCGATCACTTTCAATTTTAAATTTAATGAAACGACCTCAACCAAACCAAATAGTTGGATCATCAAGTAAATTTTTTTTTTTTTTTTTTCTATGTTCCCTACATTTTCCATAGCAACTACCAAAACAAGAAAATTATAACCGAGTTTCCAATTAGAGAAAAAAATCTTAGCACTCTGAAGAACGAAATCGCTCTGCACACAATCAAAGGAATACACGATACACATAGATATATATAATTAGTCAACGACACATACAAAGAAATAAAAAAAAATTTAAAAAATCCTAAAAGAAGGGAAGAGAAATAGAGCTACCCTTTTCAATTCCTTCTTGCGAAGCTCCTTTCGATAGGCGTCGGTAGGGTTCATGACTTTGCCACCCTTCGTGGTCTTCATCTTCGACCCTCTCCCTCTCTCTCTCACTCTAAATATATATAGAATACACGATACACATAGATATATATAATTAGGCAACGACACATACAAAGAAATAAAAAAATTTAAAAAAAATCCTAAAAGAAGGGAAGAGAAATAGAGCTACCCTTTTCAATTCCTTCTTGCGAAGCTCCTTTCGATAGGCGTCGGTAGGGTTCATGACTTTGCCACCCTTCGTGGTCTTCATCTTCGACCCTCTCCCTCTCTCTCTCACTCTAAATATATATATATATATATATATATGTATGTATATTGAAGGTATATATATATATATATATATGTATGTATGTATATCGAAGGTTCTTGGGTGTGGAGTCGAATTGGAGGCAAACTCAAGGATATGGTGAAAAAGAAGCAGACGAAGAAGAGGGCTCTTTCTTTTTTCAACCCCCAGAGAAGCTCTTGGTCTTAGATAAATTACACCTTTTCCTTTATATTTGATTATTTTCTCACTTTTGACCCTAATTTTTTTTCACACTGTAGCCTTTTATATATATATATTAAAATTTACTCAAAAAGTTTAAATAAAAATTTGACAAATAGATAGATTATGTGATTGTTAATGTAATCTTTCAATTAAAACCTTGTTTGAGAATATGAGATTTTAGTTTAAAAGTTAAAAAATCAACAAATTAAAAAGACAAGATTATTTTCCATTCACTTTATTTTGTGTACATTTTTTAGTAAAAAATTAAAAAGTTATCTCAAAACATATTAATTTTTTTATATCATATTTTAATAAAAAAAAATTAAAAAGTTACTAAAAAAACATGTTCATAAACTACCCCTAATTTTGAACAAAAAGTAAAAAATTAAAATACGAATAATCAAAATAAGGAATAAAAACTTCAAAAATCAAAATGTAAAAATACCAAATATATGAGAGGTAAAGTGTAAATTAACCTTTTATAGTTGGATAAAACTTTAATTTGTACAGTTCTTTCTACAATGCAGGGTAATTATTTAGTAATTCTGAAGTATAAATACGTGATATTCTATAGCATTGTGATTGGTGGAGAAAGTGGGTAAGTGGGGTATTATGTTGGGTGATTTGGGAGCATGAAAGGACATATTGAATGATGATTGGTTAAGGAGTACAGACATTTGATATTTCAAGAATATTGAATAATTTCCCTTAACGCCTGATTATGTTATCGTCCAACGTAGAGATTATTAGGAGTGTAAAAATGGCCCACAGCCTGTGGGTGGTCCGAAGCCCACCTATAGCTTCGGAGTGGGCCCGACTTGGTTAGGCTTAAGCCTGAGCTCAGCCTGAGACCCTGGGCCATCATTTTAAAGCCCAGTCCAGTCCATTGGGGTCGGCCTGTTGCCTAGCTCATAGGCCTACTCAAAACCCGATCCGCCCAAGGCCCAATATAATTTTTAGTGGAAAATAATAAAACTTTGGTAAAAAAACAAAAAAAAAAATGTCCAGTCCCGACTAAGCCTAAGCCCAGGCCCACCTACGGCTTTGGAGTGGGCCCGACTCGGTTAGGCTCAAGCCTGAGCCTAGCCTAAGACCCTGGGCCGTCATTTTGAAGCCCAGTCCAGTCCGTTTGGGTCGCCCTGTCACCTAGCTCATAAGCCTACTCAAAACTCAATTTGCCCAAGGCCTAGTATCATTTTTAGTGGAAAATAATAAAATTTTGATAAAAAAACAACAAATAAAAATGTTCAATCCTAACTAAGCCAGAGCCCAGGCCCACCAGCCCTGCCCGCCCAAGGCCCGAATACCCCTAGGCCTGGGCCTAATTTTTTGGCTTGTGGGCCTACCCAGCTCAGATTTGGCAGAAACTCACAAGGCTCGACATGGGGCGGCCCAGGGCAAATTTACACCCCTAGAGATTATCTAGGTGTAATTTGGATGATTTGAAGGGAAAATTATAAATTAATTAAATTTGAGTTTTGGACAATTTTAATTTGTTAGTTAATTAAAGAATATTCTTAAATAATTATCAAGTATTTGTAAAATATATAATACTAATTTGCATAATATTTTATATATATAAAACACAAATTAATTTTACAGAACATTTTTCATAAATATAGCTACTAATTTGTAAAAAATTTCACATCTTAAATATGTCTTACACTCATTTTTATTTTGATATTTCATTAGAGATTAAAAATATGTATTAACTATAGCAGAATAGAATGGTTTCTGCGGCAGATTATAAATTTTAAAATTTAATCCGCGATTAGCGAATGGAACATTATGAATAAGTTCGGATTGAGTGATATTTTACACAATCCTAATATAATGACAGCACATCGGAAAGAGGAAAATACGCTCTATCCCTGTAGTTAAGTTTATTTCACTTAGACCCCATTGTATCTTGTTTGAATTTTTTAAAAAAAATTTATTTATGTTTTTAGAAATAAAATAAATAAAATGTTTGGAACACCCATCAGTTTTATTGTGGTTTGAAAATTCAAATAATGATAAAATAAAATAATAAAAGGAAAAATTGTAAATAAGTGGAAAGATTAAACACACAAAAAAAAAAAAAAGTTTTTTTTTAAAGGTCTCTAGTATTAAGATTTTATAACATAAATGACACCCAATATTTTTATAATGTCTAAGGTCTTCTCAACATTGATCCAGAGCAAATTCGATAAAATTTTACACATCTCCAACACCAAATTTCTCTGGACACATTATAGAGAAAATTTTACACATCACCAACACTAAATTTCTTTCGACTCATCACAATCACAAAAAAATTTTTACACATCACCAATACCAAATTTCTCTGGACATATCACAGAGAAAATTTTACACATTTCCAACACCAAATTTCTCTGGACACATCACAGAGAAAATTTTACACATCTCTAACACCAAATTTCTATGGACACTTCACAGAGAAAATTTTACACATCTCTAACACCAAATTTCTCTAGACACATCACAGAAATTTTTTTACACATCACCAATACCAAATTTCTCTGGATTAATTTTCTTTGGACTCAAATAAAAGTATAAAGAAATTCACTTTCAAGATCACAAAAAACAAAAACACATATTTAGGTAAGGGACATGATTCAACCCTTTGGGCAAATGTATTGAAGTATTTTGGTGAACTTGGAGAAGATTGTTCAAAAGAAGTCAAGGAAATTTTGACTTGTATTGAGAGGGATAACATCGTGCCTCCTATTATTGTTCTTCAGACCCTGTCTAGAAATCCATGCCTCACTCTCTATTATCAAAGATTATATAGCCAGAAAACTTGAATAGGAATCAAAGCTAATTGAAAAAGACAGACGATCTATTGATAAGTATTAGGTTGGTGTTCAATTATTTCATAGTCTAATGGAAATTTATATATATATATATATAGAGAGAGAGAGAGAGAGAGAGAAATTCAAGTGCAAGGTGTAGATCAGAGAATTGCATACACTATACATATGTGTGTGTGTGTGTGTCTGTGTGTGTGTCTGTGGAATTATTATTATTTTTTTTTAAGATATAAGGCAAATTTATGATTGTTCAACTTCTCCAAGTACCGCAAGATTGATGACAGTAGAAAATAAAAACAAAATGTAAAACCAATATCTTTGTCTTTGTTAATCGTGATTTGTGGTTGCAGGTGGTCTCAAACTTCTGAGCTAATTGATCCATTGATCTGCAGGGACTTGATCTGCCTAACTAAGTGCCAATCTACTGAACGAGACACCACACATGGCCTCCATTGCTCTTGTCCAGCGCTAGCGGAGCATTTCGACGCCTCTCATCCTTGTGAGAGGAGATGCAGGAGAAGATGGCGGCAGCGGTAGAGAAGAGCTATCGACAACGACAACAGAGATGGAGTTTGTTGGAGAGAGAAGAGTAGAGAGAGAGAGAGGAAAAGAGGAAGAGGCGGGTTTGATTTGAAATAACTAAATTTTTCAGTAATATATGGGTGTCAGGGGTGAAAGACCTTACACATCATAAAATAATATTGTGGATCTCTTCCCTTACTAAAAATGAAAAATGGAGGTTGGACTAATTTTTTCTAAAAAAAAATTACAAATCAATGGTAAAGTTTATCAACTTTAATAATTAAACTGATAAACTTTTTCATGATTTTGTAACTTTTTTGAGCTCTTTTCACTGATTTTGAAATTTACATCATTAAAATGTTTGAAATACACATCAGTTTTATTATGGTTTGAAAATTTAAATAATCATTAAAAAGGTTTTTGCAAATATATGGGTACTTTTAGAAAAAATTATTATAAATAATTTAACAAACAAAAATTTCGTATTAGTTTTTGTTTTTGTTTTCTAATTTTAAGAACACAAAAAATAAAAAATAAAAAATAAATAAAAAAACAGAAATGTCGCCAGATGCACACGTCTTGAGAGATTCAAAATTTGTTCTGCTCAAATTTTGTTTCAATAATATATAAATTCATAAATTTTTAAATTATTAATTCAAATTTAAGGTGTCGTTTGGTAACACTTACGTTTTCAATTTTTTGTTTATATTTACAAAAATTTTAAAAACTCAAATAAAAACTTGTTTGGTAAAATTTTTGATTTATAAATCAGTGGTCTCAGTTTATAAATTTGGCCAAAAAATGAAAACACAAAAAATGTGTTTCCATTTTGAGTTTTCAGTTTTTTTTTTTACCAGCCAACACTAACACCACCTGCACCATTTCCACTACCGTCTTCCGCCGCCACCACCACCCCCCACCACCACATTCCATCGCCACTTCACCACTCACCAGTACCGCACCTGACCCAATTCGCCGCCACCACCACACCACCCACCTGCCTTCATTTCACCCTAATCGACCCACCATCCACCGTCGCCTTGGCACACCACCGCGCCACCTATTCCACCATCCATCACCACCCACCTACCCACCACCATCACCCACTGCCTGCACAGCTACCACATTACCCACCAAAAGCACAGCCACCCACCTGCCTACTACCACGGACACACCACCAGATCCATCACTCTACACACCATTGAACGCACCAAACCACCGGCACCACCACTCCACACACCTACTTGTTACACCTATCCCCC